ATATAATTTTGCATTGTGTTTATCTAGCCAATCCTGTTATTTGATTAACTGTTTTAATTTAGATTTGATGAGCTATTAATTACTTGTGACATACTGTGGGATGAAATACTACTCTTACTTACTGGACAATCTTTTTATAAACTGTCCTAAAATATATAATCCTAATGTTACATTATACGCATAGTTTTTAACAGGTACTCACCTGTTAATTGCTGACAAACATCACTGTCAAACTGACAAACTGTCGGCTGTTAAATGCATGTTTCTTATGCATTTAACGTAGAGTGAAATCTCACTTGCACTTAGGTTTGTTTCTAAATCTAGATTTTCAACACCCAAAACAATTTTCTTTTTCAGTTCATTATCCATCTCGGGACGTCCCATAAATCCCGCCCTTTCATCATCACACGCTCCTGATCTTCGATCAGAGTGTCGTATTTACAGACTTTATGACGCAATTTACGACTCATCAGCTCAGCTACCCGATATTGCCTATAAAAACATCAATCACCTTCAATTTATTAGGTTTTTAAGTCAATAATGTGTTTTCTAGGGGTTAAATAAATTGCAGGAATTGTAGGAACATCTCTTGGTTCTATTACTGGGTTTCTTTGTCGGAATTTTGAAGTGTAAATGAATCAATTCCCATGGCTTTAAGTTGCTTGGATTGAAAAATATGCCTTAGCTATGTTTCCCCATAAAATAGATTTAACTTCAGATTTGGGTCATAAGTTTTCTTTATAAAATTCTTACCAATAATGAAAAGTTTCGTAAAATTTGCGTAAAAGATTTTTGTAAAAGCAGATGTTTCAATACAAAAACGTATCTATTGATTGATTGAAGTGTAACTATCTTAATTTAAACCTGTACTCATCAACCAGTACACCTCTATGAAACCTTAGACGTCCTGTGGTCGGTTTTACCACAGAAAACGTACTACTAGTAGTACGTTTTCTGTGGTTTTACTGTCTAATTTGTTGTAGATGTGTATACACTGAAATTAACCGATCAAACTGTTTCTATTGTATCAATTAACCACTAATAAGGAAGAAACTCACTCTCAATGCTTATTTCAAGTTAGATGTGGTGAATAAAGAATAGAGCGAGAACATATTTGTGTCTTTGTTGGGTAAGAGGAGATTTTTCTTTTGCAAGGGCCATGATGCCCTTTTTCATTTTCATCATTTTCCTCAATGATCAAGGAAAGTTTGATCTAGTTTTGAAACATGAAAGCACCATCATTTAACCAAGGTGAACATTGTAGTAAAGGAAGAGGTATATTAAGGGTAAAATGAGAAAATGATGACACAACTGTTGGATTAAAGTGCAAACAAAGCCATAGACTCAATTGAACGCTTGGTGGCAAAGAACTGTTTTTGCCAATATCCGTCTAAACGATTCTAACGTCACAGTTGGAATGACGACAAAAGATTGGCTTTCGTGACAGGAAATTGACAAAGGAAAATAATTCCCGGTCCAGTGGGAAAGAGAGGATAAAAACTGCAATTGCCAATAACATAGAAACTACAAAATAGTAATTATAGTATTTTCTACATTTGCAATGTCATGGTGTGCGATAATTTTTATTACGACAGTAAAAAGCCTAATCAAAGCGTGAAATAGATTTTCTAATTTTATTTGCAGTTTAATTAATGAGTTAGATAAAAAAGTAATCGCTGGGCTAAAAAATGAAAATTTTATGTGTTCTTCTTTTATTTGGTTGTAATTTGGTTGCTAATCAAGAAATCGTTTTAAGATAATTATCAAAGCAAAACCATAAAATCAAACTATAAACAGATTATACAACTTGCTTTTAAGATTTAGTAAAAAATTATGTTAATTATATGTAATAATGGGTTATTATTTCAAAACATTTATTTTTCATAATTGATGTTTGCTAGGCCTATTTGCAACGGTAACCTAAGGACATCCAATATCAAGGTTAGCCATTTCCTGTGTACTGCTGCCAATCACTGATTTATGTCTCTCCTACATTTGAACCAATGAAAGGACAACTTATTGTGGTCTTTTATGTCACATTGACAATCAAAGTGTGAACAACTGAGAAAATAGAGCATGATAATTGCACACTTTGTCAGTGACTATGTTCAATTATAACAAAAGTGGTTACATCTAGTTCACTGATGGTATGTCTAAGCTAGTGTACAAAAGTCAATTGCTTAATCGTTCTCCAATACCCGCTACACAGGACCACCCAATGACACCTAGCGATTCTATTCTCAAAGGTATAACTCGACACCGCTCCCTAAACCACTTCTCCAACTTCCAAATACATCTAATGACAGGGTCTCCGCCCTAACGCCGCCTCTGGAGTGATACGTGATCAGGCTCCAGCTCCAGGAGCGGGCATTGTCGTTGGACAAAGACTCCAGCCGCTGGAGAACGCCAGTCACCCACATTAATCATACAGACAGACAGTAACGCGGGAATGGTGTGATCTTTACCAGCCAGTGTCAAGTGGGAGTATTGGTCCACAATAGATTATCGTTAAGGAGCAAGGATAAATTACGTGTTAAGAACAGCCGGGAGTAAGGATTATTGTGTGTGTTTGTCACAGGATTGAAGGAAGTGTAAGAATCACAAAGAAATGGAAGGAAGTTTGACGCAAGAATCTAACCTACGATTTGTTTTATATGTTATTTATTCTGTTGTCCAATTTAAATTTTGTATAACAACATCCGACGTCGACCTTTTCTTTAGTACCATCATTAATTAAGTTAATAACCCAAAAACAAATGGCATCTAGGTCTGGTAATGGTCTCCCTTGGAATCAGACTAGCCATCTTCAGATTAAAAGGCAAGCACTATAACAACTCGGCTGCCCAGACAAAGATGAAAGTACTACTTGATGTATCAAATGATCCTATTTTTGTTAGGCCACCACTGGTTTCAAACCTAAAGTTTTATCATCAAGCTAATTATCTTCAGCACTGGTGTTGTGAAGAATCGTAAAAAATACATACATAGATCTGAATACACACCTATAAAACCATGAACACCAATGGAAGTTTTGCCAAATGAAAACAATACCTAACACACGTGGTGACAACTTAGATGTATACATTTAAAGAAACCAAAGAGCACAGGTAGCACCAAATTTTGCAACCAAACTATCAAAATATTTTCTACAAAAGACGAATGAATAGATAAAACAGGTCAAACAAAATTATGATAACTAAAACATAAAATACTCTTGATAGTTAAGGTGACAACATCAACAAACATCACAATTCCTACATTATGGCACGTAATATAGCAATTAACGGAGAATCTTCTCTTTCCATACTTTAACTACGATATTTGTTCTTGTTAAAGTTTTACTGATTGGACCACAAATCAAAGCTTCATGTATCATTGCCGTTGAGATTTATAGGTTATTCAGATCGCGGATTGAGACGAGCTTCAACAGAAGGCCTTTAATTGAGATGCAAATTCACGTTGGGAATGTGGGCTTCTCGATCTGTCGGAATGGAAGTCATAAACTTGAATTGTGATTATCTGGGGTTCATAAAATTGGATTCTTCGATTAAATCTCACTTAGAGGTTTCTAACTTATGCAGTTAAGAAATCGCAAATATAAATATGAGTGATGTAGATTAAAAGTATAAATGTATTTTACAAATCATAACTGGTTTAATGTTTTGATCATAATATTTACTAAAGTATAATTAATGTTCTGTACAACCTTTTGGTGAATGTTGTGAATCATTTAAAAAAATAGGTTAAAGTGTTACTTACTACTTGAGATAATATCTGAATATTTAAAAATTCTCATTCGTTTATGAGTAAAACTTGTATATTTTGTCCCAGATACCTCTTTAAACCCCTAAACACCTCACTCCCTATTGCCTGTCTACCACCTTTGAATTTGCATATTGGAGTAGATTTCAAATATATTCAAGCCAGATGTAGCTATTGGTTGCATAGACTGTACAACAGTGTGTTACTGAGTTGTAGGTCATATGAGTTTTAGGTTTCCATGATACACTTGCTCAAATAAGTTTATGTTTCAGTTTGACATGAATAGTTTACAAGAAAGAGAATTGTATTTACAGTGACTCATTCTATCGGTAGCTCAATTTAATTAAATATAAATAGCTACAACTTGACACTGGAATAGAATGAATTATTCTCTGTTGTATTATAATAAAAGTTACCATACACTTTACTCTCACGGTATCTCACAGGTTTGAATTCCATTTGAGTAATATTTTCTATGGTGTCATATTTCTATCTATCGAAGTACTCATGTTTATATCTGTAAACTATGAGCTAGCCTTGTAATTAAAAGGCCAAAGGTCTTTCTATCCTGAGAAAACCATAGCATTTTTGATGGATCGAAATTAGATCTTACAGTTTTTGATCATTGGACCTTTAATAATCGTTTCTGGTTAAACAAACAGCTGATCTTAGTAAAAAACGAAGAACAGATTACCCCTCTCCACACGGTCAGTGCTCATAATTCACTCGTACTCTGCTTACCAACTAGGTGGCGTTGCTCAAAAGCAACAATGAAATTATAACAATGATCAACACATCTGTCATATTACACAATGTTTATAACATGAACAGACTGTACAGAATACATCCAACGGACGACAATAGTTATATAAATATTGCTCCCAGTCGTGAATAGAGACCCGAGCGTTCATCATGTGATAGTTTGTAGGTCGGTAACTACTGAGCCTCCAGTGCCGCAGGGGTTTTTACCAACTCCCCGTACAACAGTGCTGGGGGTGGGGCAGAGCCCTATCCATCCATCAGCAATCTGGATTCTGGAGTCAGTGTAGAACCGGCGTCCGCGGCAACTGCACCTCGGGAGGTGCATGCTGAAAGCTGCAGAAACCTGCCGTGCGTTTGCGGAAAATTGACTATCCATCGAGTCAACCCCCATTTTCATACTTACATTCTTTTGATGAATACTTAAAACAACTAGTTTTAGATACGTTTCAAACTTTTTATTTTTCTCGTGTGTAATGATGGAATCGACGGGTGCGAACATGTTGATGTGTCGTCAGTGGTGGAAGGTGTGTTGGATTTACGGTGATCAGGAGAAATTCTATAGACAACTGTATGGGAAAAGACCCACATCTATGGGGCCTACCATGGTCACAGTACAGGGTGAAGTTTCTACGGTGCATAGCGAGTAAGTAATGAATCCATAAATTTACTTTAAAAGTAGTACGTGAATAATTTAAGAGTAATTTAAAAGTAGCTTACGTGATGGAGATAGAAGGGGGTTTTAAGATAGTTGAGTAAAACCTCTCACACGATTTGGCGGTTTATATGAAAAGCTGTCTACTTAACTCATATCTCAGTACTTTAACAATACTAATAGCCTACTCTGCTCATTTGCATTTATTCGTTTACTAGCAGAGTACCTTTCCTTCGTACGGGATTGACATATAAAATGCTTATTGAATTTATACTCAAGCTTTGCGTTTACAATGGGGGGGGACACAGTTTGATAAAATTTCCTTCTTTAAATTTACGGTATACTATAGTATTACTCATCTACCATAGCCATAATGTTCTACTACTTCACCTAAACAATAGAGAAAAATAAATTATTAAATATTCGCAAAATATTACAAATTATTCATGAAATTAAAAACATAAACATAAGTGCAAACAAACAAACTTTGACAGTTCCCATTCTCTCACGTTTTTTTTTTTGCTGCTTGGTTCAAACTAGCTGTTTTCATAAAGAAAAAAAAAACAACATTGCTGAACCCTGTTGATAAATCTTACAACTTTTAATGCTTTTGCATATCATAGAACCAACTTTTTAAGTTGAAATAGCTGACTAAATTCTTTAATTCCCTTTAAATATGAATACTCATAAGGTTAACATGGGGAACTACAGAGCCACTGGGGCGGAGCCCGAAAGGATTTTTGAGATAAGAATATGCAAATGAATTTAAAAATCGGGAATGTGAGCTATCATCATACCAAATTTCAGCCGAATCCGTCCAGTAGTTAATGCGTGATTGAACTTCAAACAAACAAACACAAAAACTTTCACAGTTATAATATTAGTAAAATTACTAAAGGAATCGAATACTGAATTATTTACTAAACATTTATGGACGAATGAAATGTTCATGTCATACAAAACATGTATGAAGAATCGACAGTATGCTGGTATCGTGATTGAACAGTGGGACTTCTATCTTAGAAACCAGGACTCAATCCCTGCCAATCACCAATTACATTTTGATATGTTAATCCATGACCTGATGGTTCGGAATCCACCCTCATCTGTACTATGCACTTAAATATAGGTTTCTCAGCCACGTACAACCTGCCTCCTATAGATATCAAAGAATGCCTACGCCAATGGCAATCTCAAAGTCAATTTTGAAAACACAAATTACTAAAAACCCAAACCAATACTTCGTCGAGTACGGTAGAATTTATCGCAAATAAACGCAGTTTAAGTATGTTAATTAGAAGAGCTAAGTAGACCTAAACCACTGATATACGCGGCTTACAGACATATTTCATTACTCTGAGGTAAATAAAGCAGAACTCAACCTCATAAACATCCCGGTTTATCTCGTCATAAACCTCATATTGCCTCCAATCTCATATTTTACTTCCGACCCGTATATTATCTTCATACTTTTGTTCATCATGTTAAAATGTTTATATCTTGTCGTAAGACATGAGGATAATTTTTTAAGCGTAATAAAAACGTCAGTTTAGTAGAGTATCTAAAATAATTATGTTGTCTAATTAATATTATCGGATTGAATTATTGTAATACTGTCCATGTGAGATGTAAAGATAAATTTCTGCATTTGGATACATAATTTTGTTTATCATTATCATCTTGTTACTCGTCTTAAAGAACTCATTTCTTCTCTCGGCCTACCACTCTACCAGATGATTATTATTTTAAAATCATAATCCACTCGACATTCTCTCTAATGCAAGGCCGCCACGGTGGTGTTTGGCAACGTCGCACCGGCCGGTCTATTACCACGGTAAACATAAACATTGTGCAGACACTCCATTATGAATTAGTGGAACAAATGCTCCAGTAGGACGGGTCTGCGACGTTGCCACTTTTGTCTCATTGCGTACTTGTAAAGGAGGCCGGTAGCTGCATTCAGGCACGCATGACTCAGTATGTTCAGTCAATGATTTTTGTACAGTAGATCAATAAATTTAAGGAACTATCTCGAAAACCCGTTGGTATATTATAGTTCGGCCGCCTCGATAGCGACCTGCACGCTATGCTAACCAATGCTAGAGGAGGTCGCTATCTAAGAGGTCTAAGGAGGTCGTCGAACTATAGAACTGTTTTGGAATATTATCATTAAAACCAGAGATTAAACGTACTCTTACACATTTATTACCTCATGGATCAGCAGAAAACATATGATGTAGAGCGATGCAAAAGTAGGTTAATTTCGAAGCCCGTACGAAAAAAAGGATTCGGGTTTTTTACAAATTTTTGAAGAGTCTACTTCCTACTTGCTACATATTTCGCCGACCAAGCTTTAGATTCTACTATAGAACAAGAAGTCTCCTTGATAATGTCCATGAAGTTATTTATGATCTTGTGAATAAGTAAAGAATCTCAACGTTTCTTGCAAGAAACAAACCCAAATCTTGTTAACAGAAACCAAGACCTGCTCGACTGTGAGACATGTTTCACCGATCGAACCGATCCGTTATTGTATTAATTAATCGCCGTGTTCAGGGCGTAATCTTACTAGGATTTCTATGATTACCAACTCCTTAACCAGCTGAACAATGGGGGTCATACCTAATTAGTCGTGTACTGTGGGAGCCGAGCTATCAGCTGTTTTCTAATCACCTGTTCTCTTGTCAGCTGTTAATACGGTTGCTACTTCTGATCGCGTCGGTTGAATAGAGATGGGAATTTAAGATATATGAAGATGACAAGGGGTGGGATAAGCGTGGATCGCCAACAATGAAACAATGTGGACTTAGTTTTGTGAGGATTATTCTTGTTTTGTTGGTACTGTGAAATTACAATTAGTAATACATGTAGCTATCCAATAAGTGCAGAAATATTTCGGAAGTATACGACAACGTGTTTACGTATAGTTTTCTAGTATGCAATATTATAAACGCATATTTATTTTATTTTCATTCTCTTATATTTTAACCCGCCACATAATTGACCAAAATGATATTCTAAAATGGAAAACGTAAACTGAATTTCACTGAATAAAAATATTACAGTATTGCAATAGACGCTTAATACGCATTATAACGACATACATGAACAATTAAAAACACTGATCAAATGGGGTATCCGTAGTATCAAATTAGAGAGTGTAGGATAGTGGATAGTGTAGTATCCAAGACCTGTCATATAGCTGATTTTTATTCGTGATTCTTAACAACTGATGTAAACATCTAAAAGTCACTAAAAGATCCTTATAAAATAAGGAATATTTTATATAGAATATTAAAGATCCTAATAGAAATAATAATCTTAATTATTTAAACTGCTCCTTTTGGTTTTATTTGTGATTTAAACACAGCAGTAAGTTAAGTAAAATCTACTTTACAATTAATTTTTAATTCTTCTTATTGCAAAAGTTAACCTAACATGAACGTCTTCCTTCAGCTAGACCATGCTTAGCCGGATAGGATTACTTTTCTTGTATATCATAAAAGAGATGATATATTGCCTTACTAGTTTTTTATCTGTTCTAAATATTGACATTTTTGGATCCAAATATATAATCATTAAGAACCCAGTTGAATAGAACCCAGTTGTTTTCGACTGATTAAATATAGAGAAAGACTTGTTATGTACTAATAACATGTGATATACCAGTCGAATGAATATAGGTAAATTAAATATTTGTTTGCGCTACATATGGATGGTAACAAATTAGTAAAAATCTCCAAGTAGTGCTTTAAATAGAGGAGATACATAATTTAAATGTACATATCCAAAAAACCGTTGCTTTTATAATAGTAAAGATTTACCCTAGAGAAGGTAAAGGAGTCACAAGACGAAATTAAGGTAAATTAACCTCTTAGAACATGTTCAACTAAAGATTCAAAATATTCGTTTCGTGATTTCGGTAGTTTCCCAGATTAATTCATTAACGCAAGTTTCACATTCTGCCCTTGGAACTGCATAATGGAATTAGTTAATGGCACCATAAACGCGTAGTCCCGTGTCTCGGACCGACAAAGACGTAACAGAACAATAAAATACATCATTAGACGTGGAATGTTGATTGGTGTGCGAACATTACTTTGAATTTTAGAAGTAAAATATTATCTTCTGTTAATGACTGGGTTGAGTAATTTTTTATTTGTGGGAGAGGAAGTTAAAAAATCCATTCCGATATCATTCATTGGGGTACAACTGTGAAACGCATTTAGTTTTACTTTAGATGTCATTGTTAAGTCTTTCAGTATGGTCTGTTATGCATCACTATTTCTTTGTATAGGTATAGTTCTCACAAACCGAATTGATAGCCCAGTTAATAAATGTTTTTAATCGCAACTAAATGGTGGAAAGCTGGATTTTTTATATGTGATAGAACCACATGAGAGGTGTATTTTCCCAAAAGTCCCCACTTCTACCCCTTGAGCTTTCCCCCCCACCCCTCTCCAAACCTAGAAATTGCAGTGTTTTACTTAATTGGTCATAATTCAAATGCTATGTGAGCTATCGAGCTGCAATTTGTTTTGTTTTATTTCTTATTAGTTTTCCTACAACTTTTGTATTTGTAACATTTTTCTAAAACCAATACTTAGGGAGATATAAAATTTAAACTTCGTTAAAAGCTTTGTTTCAGAGTGCAAAATTATGTTTTTCTCTATGTATACTTTTAAATAGAAATAATACGCAAATAGGGTTCGAACAAAAGTTTTAGTACGTTTTTCAAGGTTTACAAATATATTATTGGTTAGTCATCTAGGTGACCAGGTGAAGTGCTGGGCGTCGGCAAAGTGAGCGTGTGCGCGCTAGTAGAACAACTCTGCGCTGCGTCGTCGCATCTAGCCCAGCCAATAAACGCACAAACTGCCTTTTTTCGTAGCTAAATAGTGGAAAGCTGAGTTTGTAATATGTGATGGAACCACTTAAGACGTGTATTTTCAAAAAGTTCTCGATTCTCCCCACCCCAACCCCCTCCAACC